ACGGTTTATTTAATGGTGAGAGGAGCGGGTGTGGAGAAGCATGGCCCCGGCCTGTCCCAGGCTCACGCGGGGCCGCGGGGGCCGCGCTGCCCCGTCCACGCGCAACCGCAGCGGGCCGGCGCGGGCAGACACCGGCCCGAGGTCCAGACGGGCCCAGCGTGGGGCTGGGGAGAGCCGAGCTCTGGCCCTTTCCTCCGACACCACAGGACGCTGGGCGGGGCCGCCTTCTCCCATGCTAGTCCCTGCCACGGCTGGCGGTGGCACAGGCTGAGCCAAGGAAGACGGGACATTAGTGCAGATGGGAGTGACTCAGAGACTATGCAAGCCACATCGAGCACAAAAGGTCATCTAAATGCCACGTGTCCTGAAATGACCATGTCCAGGGGCCTGAGGCGCGGCAGGGGAGGACGGCTGTATGCGCTCCGGCACCCCGGCCGTTGCTAAGCCTGCTTCCCAGGCACTGTCCGGCCATGCTGACTGCCGAGCTGCCCCTTAGCGATGCTCCCTGGGGGCCGCCTGGCCTGGGCTCTGGCCACGGCCCAGACCCGTCCCCAGCTCCTCTGAGACCTGGCAGAGCCGGCCTTGTTTCCGGCCAGGCGGGGCGGGGGCCAGCAGACAGGCTGGCGCTGAGTGGGCTTCCTGCAGCAGGGCCTGCCCCGCCGGGCCGGCAGCGGGCACGGGCTGGGCCCCAGTGCAAACTGCACTGTCACCCGCTGCTGGGGCCCAGGGCTGTTCCCACGTAGAGAAGGCGCTCGGCAACCCTCGCAGCCCCTCACCCCCGCTCAGCTCAGGCCCCTTCCTTTGTTCGCACGGAGGGGGCTGGGTCCCGTGCCACGCCGGGCAAACGCCTGCAGCCTCCACTTCCTTACCAGGGAGGGGCAGGCGCAGATGAGTCACGAGTGAGGCTCAGTCATGGAAAGAGCCAGAAGGAAAAGTACTGGAAGCTCTGAGAGCACGTCCCACGGGCCAGGCCCGGGGACCTGGGAACATGTCTCTGAGCGGGGGAGGCCTTTGTCACAGAGAGAGAGGGAGGGAGGGAGGGAGGGAGGGAGGGAGGGCCTCGCAGTCCTGGAGGTGGCTTTGTCTTTTAGGAGCACCCAGAGTCACTGGGGCTGCAGGGAGGACGAGGTGGCAGGGCTGGGGGCAGAGGGAGGCACAGCGTCCCCACAGGCTGGGCTCCGTCCACGCAGCAGGAAGCCAGGCCCGGCCCGTTGCAGCCTCGCACGTACGTGCGCACACACTCACACACATACGGACTTGCACACATACACACTCGCCCCCCACACAACACGTTCACTCACATACACACTGTGGGCTTGCTCAGCACCCTCAGGGAGTCTGGGAGCTCAGTAGAGGCCCCTGCGCCCTCTCCCCCTAGGGCCCAGGCTGGATGGGGG